GAAGCGGAGCGACAGGGCCGGAGGAGCAGGGCTAGGGCCACGTTGCTCCGCTTCCTCCCACCACAGTTGGTGGGCGCTGGACTCCCCTGGCTGGTCGTACTCTAGGCCGCATCGTTCAGGGGGAGGGCTTGGGGGCAAAGGCAGGGCAGTAGCTGACCAAGGGTCGGGGAGAGGCAGGGCCTGGGACGGAGAGGGGTTCTCCTGACTCTCCTCAGGGCTAGCGGTGGCACAGGGAGGAGTCATGGTGGGGGGCTCGCCAGTTGCCCCTGCTGGCTGTGAAAGCACGAGAGTTACCCAGCCGCTGGCCGGCTGCCTTCCTGCGGTCGTGTCTGAATGACTTGCGGTCTGGCTAAGGCACAAAGGACGGGCGTGCGCCTGGCCAGCGCACTGGTGAGTGAACGTGTGTTCCAGGCAGGGGCATTGGAGCAGTAGTTCAGTGGGCGTGCTGAGCCATTGAACCAAACGGTCCCGCTGGTATAGGATGGAAACCACTCCAGGCCAGCCAGGGGCTCCAGGGGCCCTCTCTGCCGGACACAGCAAGCACGAGGCGTTTGGGGGTTCTAACGCCAGCTGTTGGAGCCCCTTTTGGTTCTGAAGGTCCCCGGTTCATTCCCTGGCGTGTCTGTCAAAGATTTAGGATGGCCGGCGCACACTTGGCCATCCTCACAGCAGCCCAACGGGGACCAACGCCGGGACAGCTGCAACTTGGCGTAACCACAACAGCTCCCACGTTCCCACGCAGACATGGGTCAGCTCCTGAGAACAGCCGGACGCTCTGCCGCCTCTGCCGGCCAAACACGTCAGAGGCAATAATCGCTGTCTCTGAGAGCCCCTCAAACATGCAGACGGGTGGCTGCGCCCTGCCAAAGAGACTGCGCCCTGCCAAAGAGGCTGCCCTCCATTTCCCCCAATGCTGGCTTGTGACGGGGCCTCTCTCCGGTTTTCACCCCACAGTCTTCGACGAGTTTCTGAAGATTTCCGGGAAGCCCATTGAGCAGAGCATCCGGGGCGAGCTGTCCGGGGACTTTGAGAAGCTGATGCTGGCCGTGGGTGAGTGGTGCTGTCTGGTGGAGGGGCAGGGCTGGAGGAGATGTCGGAACCCAAAGGATCACACATGGGGACTTTAAGTGAGGGGCGGGGGGCTGCTCCAGCCAGGCCATGCTCCAGTTACCGGATTATCACAATAAGCATGCCAGTAAGGCAATGCTTACCGGATAAATGGTTAATTGGTTACCTCTTTACATCTCTAGTTACAGTATATCTTACGGGGAGACCACTGTCCTGTGGGCGGGTTACAATGCGCCTTAGGGGGAGGCCACTGTCCTGTGGGTGGGTTACAATGCGCCTTAGGGGGAGACCACTGTCCTGTGGGCGGGTTACAATGCACCTTACAGGGAGACCACTGTCCTGTGGGCGGGTTACAATGCACCTTACAGGGAGACCACTGTCCTGTGGGCGGGTTACAATGCACCTTACAGGGAGACCACTGTCCTGTGGGCGGGTTACAATGCACCTTACAGGGAGACCACTGTCCTGTGGGCGGGTTACAATGCACCTTACAGGGAGACCACTGTCCTGTGGGCGGGTTACAATGCACCTTACAGGGAGACCACTGTCCTGTGGGCGGGTTACAATGCACCTTACAGGGAGACCACTGTCCTGTGGGCGGGTTACAATGCACCTTACAGGGAGACCACTGTCCTGTGGGCGGGTTACAATGCACCTTACAGGGAGACCACTGTCCTGTGGGCGGGTTACAATGCACCTTACAGGGAGACCACTGTCCTGTGGGCGGGTTACAATGCACCTTACAGGGAGACCACTGTCCTGTGGGCGGGTTACAATGCACCTTACAGGGAGACCACTGTCCTGTGGGCGGGTTACAATGCACCTTACAGGGAGACCACTGTCCTGTGGGCGGGTTACAATGCACCTTACAGGGAGACCACTGTCCTGTGGGCGGGTTACAATGCACCTTACAGGGAGACCACTGTCCTGTGGGCGGGTTACAATGCACCTTACAGGGAGACCACTGTCCTGTGGGCGGGTTACAATGCACCTTACAGGGAGACCACTGTCCTGTGGGCGGGTTACAATGCACCTTACAGGGAGACCACTGTCCTGTGGGCGGGTTACAATGCACCTTACAGGGAGACCACTGTCCTGTGGGCGGGTTACAATGCACCTTACAGGGAGACCACTGTCCTGTGGGCGGGTTACAATGCACCTTACAGGGAGACCACTGTCCTGTGGGCGGGTTACAATGCACCTTACAGGGAGACCACTGTCCTGTGGGCGGGTTACAATGCACCTTACAGGGAGACCACTGTCCTGTGGGCGGGTTACAATGCACCTTACAGGGAGACCACTGTCCTGTGGGCGGGTTACAATGCACCTTACAGGGAGACCACTGTCCTGTGGGCGGGTTACAATGCACCTTACAGGGAGACCACTGTCCTGTGGGCGGGTTACAATGCACCTTACAGGGAGACCACTGTCCTGTGGGCGGGTTACAATGCACCTTACAGGGAGACCACTGTCCTGTGGGCGGGTTACAATGCACCTTACAGGGAGACCACTGTCCTGTGGGCGGGTTACAATGCACCTTACAGGGAGACCACTGTCCTGTGGGCGGGTTACAATGCACCTTACAGGGAGACCACTGTCCTGTGGGCGGGTTCTATTGCATCTTGGAGGGAGCCTCTGGAATTGTGTTGAGCCAGGAGAAGGTACAGGGAGAATGACTGAAGCTGGGGAAGCCGGAAGTGCGGCTCAGGAAGCAGCATCTAACAGGGTGTTGGAGGTGAGGGAGAAGAGACCGGGAGCTTGAGGTGTTTGAAGGGGTCAGTGGAGCCCTGAGCTGGGGCACGGTGGTTCGATGGGCTAAGGAAGCGGCTGTGCTGGCCAATGGGGAGCCCTGTCTGACGGGGTGACTGGACTCTCCAGGTGACTCTTCTTGGTTTTTCCTCTTCATTGTTTCTCCTGCAGTGCAGTGCATCCGGAGCACCCCCGAGTATTTTGCTGAAAGGCTCTACAAGGCCATGAAGGTGAGTGGGCCAGGGAAACCCTACTAGCCAGCCGTGAGCCTCCCTCAGTCCATGAGAGGCACAGGGGCTCTCTTCTGGGCCCAGGCCTGGCAGGGTTCTGGCACCAGGACAGGTGCAGGCCGAGTTAGAGCGTGGGGCAGAGGTCAGGGCAGATACGTTTTGTGATGCACGGGCTGGAAATCCGAGCCCACGCCGACGCAATCGCACAGGGCCCATTGCTCTCCTCTGAAACTGAGCCCTAGGAGAAAGCCACGCCGCTCCTGCTCCAGGAGAACTAGCCATCCCGGGGCCAGGGGACTAGCAGTGTGAAGGAGCCATGACTCTGACAGCGGGCCCAGGAAACACGGCCTGTCCGGCACTCGGCTGGGAGAGCGAGGTCCTGGGAGCCCAGCTGGGTTGCTCATGCAGAGAGAACCCAGGGTTTCCTGTTTCTCGGCGGGGGCGCGGTCTGGGAAGGAGCTGTGCCTTTCTGGCATGGTGCCGTGGCTAATCCGGGGCCTGGGGGGCCCGTTGCAGGGTCTGGGAACCAAGGACAACACGCTGATCCGCATCATGGTATCCCGCAGCGAGATCGACATGCTGGACATCCGGGAAGTGTTCAGGACCAAGTACGAGAAGTCCCTGCACAGCATGATCAAGGTAAAGGGGGGCGCTGCCAGAACAGCCAGTAATTCGGCTTCGCCGCCATCTCCACACATGTAAGGGAGACACGGCAGGTCAGGGAGGTCCATCCTCCTCCTGCCCCATATTTGGATGGGGTGGGGAGGGGCGGTGAGCAGGTGGGCTTGGAAGACTCTTGAGAGAGAACATGGGGCAGCTGTAGGGGCGACTGGTGAGGGTGACATGGGGGCCACCAGTCACACGACCCCCCCAGCCTAGGGAAGGGACGGGACCCCTGCTCCACTTCCTACCACCTTCCTCCCTCCCCCCACCCCCCCAGCTCTGTCCCATCTCTTTCCCCGAGTGATGCGTCCCAAGGGACTAGCAGGGCTGAGGGGCCAGTGCTGGCAGCCGGGGTCTGGCCTCCTGCACTCCGCAGCAGCAGGGGAAGTGGAGTAACGCAGCCCCTGCTCACTCGGCTCCTCCGTCCGTATCCCTCCGCCTCCTGCCAGCCAGGGCAGGAGCCGGCCTGCCCCTCCCCGAGCGACGCAGCTGGGGGGGAGCGGAGCGGGCTGGAGCAGCATTGCTTTGCTTTCCCAGCTGTGCTGGTGTGTGGGGGGCCCCCTGCTGCAAGTGGCAGCTGTGACGGCGCGTTGGGGGTCCCCCGTCTCCTGCACCCCGAGATGGCACAAACAGACTCCACCCGCCAGTGGAATTGAGGGGGGTT